TGTGTGTGTGTGTGTGCGTGTGTGTGTGCGCCTACTCATGCATGTTTGTATGATGGTGATAATAGTAGTAATGATGACAGCGCTAATTATTGTGATAGTACGATGAAGGCGGTGATGATGGTAACGAAGTTGGTGGTCGTGACGAGAGTCATAGTGTTGGTTATGATAATGGTGATGATGTTGATAAGCTAACGTTGTTTATGGTCATGCTTTGCTTGCTTATGTAGTTTGTTTTGTGAATGATTGTATTTGCGCAAATTGACAATACACAGGCAAACTCGCCATGAGATGCAATGCTTTCTCCATTTATTGCGATTATTGCATTGCACATTTGCCAGACTTTGAGACCTTATATTGACTTCGGTTCCTCCGAGTTAACAAATATTTTGGCAACTGTTATATTCTGTGACCAAAAACATCATATTTTATACTCTGATACCTTCATTAGCTGCAGTTCACAGCGCAGTTCTCCAGCTATGCAACCAGTAACTTTTCCAATTGCTTTAACCCGTGCTGCTTCGCCTGATGGTCAGCTTGCTGGCGATCCTGACATCCGTTCCTTTTGAAGAGATCATCAGCTCGTCGATTCTTCCGACAAAAATACTTTAATTGGCCTTTGGCCGTTTCAAGATGTCAACAACGTAATTAAAAATGACTTCTTGGGCCGAAACATTTCTTTCCTGTTTCTAAAACTTTTCTAACCTTTCTTTTATAACACTTTTTTTTCTTTTTTCTCCACCTTTTTTTCGAAAATTCTATTATTAAACAATATCACGCCTAGACTGCCGTCTCAGGTACTTCACTGGCTAGGTTTATCACTTTTTTTAATATGCAGAGATTAGAAAATTAAAATTAATAATTTTTTGAGATAAATGAAAATTTTTCATTCGCTGCATTGGTGGTTGAAGCATTTGCACCTTTTTCTCATTTCGCTACGTCACTGAATCAGAAGCGAATACAGAGCCTTCTGAATAGGGCATTTTGTGAATGAAAGGAAGTCGGATCGTTGGTAAATATTTTTTCATGAAAGCAATTTATAATGGAATTATCAACACTAGCAAAATTTCATTAGCTATTATTAGTAAAAAATAGAAAAAGCAAGTGCATGTACATCAGTGGACGCTAACTGAAGGTGCGCTGCCCAGGGCCAAACGATCTGATAAGACTGATTGCGATGCGTGGAAGCATTTCAATAATATTAGTAACATGCGATACCCACGCCCAATCTCTGTCTAGATTGATCACGGCATTGTTGACAACGATACACACTCTGGTGGTCTTTGTGCCGTCGA